CGTGCTTGTTCTACTGCTCTTAAAAACGACCAGCGGGAAAGAGCTTTTCAGTACCGCCCCGCTGCGGTTGTTGTCGATGGGCGCTTGGAGAGATTATTTTGCAGTGGTAACACCTGTATGAGGTTGTTGAGGTTATTAAGATTGTGGGACGTAGGTGTTTATAACCCCAAGGTTTGATAGTGCGGTTGATTGGGGTTTTAGGATGTAGGTCGTTTTCTTTTCTTTCTTTCTTTTTTCTCTCCTCCCCTCCTTTTTGCCCCCTTAGGACACTACTGCTTTGAATTTAGAGTTTGCAGCACAAGACCTGCTCAGTTAGAAGGTTTTTCCTCTAATTTTTGGTAGTACGGCACATTGAAGGGTGCTGGCTATTGAACTGGATGTCTTTCAGTAGAGCATTTTATTTCCTGGAGTCTTAAAATGCCTAGCTTTGTACTTAAAAGGTACTTAAAATAATGTGAATAATATAACTTTATTTAGCAATTCGAAAAGAAAAACATTATTTTGGGTCAAAATGGAATATATATATATATATACACATATATATAGGTAAACCAAATGTTTACACGTTTTTCTTACTGGCCAGAGTTTTTTCAAATTAGAAAACATCAGATGAGTTGTCAGAAACATAGGAAAAAATAGAATGTTTTCCTTAGATTTTTGCAAAATTGTGCAGCTTTTCCTGAATGTTTTTGTGTGTTGTACCTGAATTTTTCACCAAACATTTGGCCAAATTTCTTCCTGTTTTTCTTAACAGCTCTTCTTTATGTTTGGCAGATACAGCTCAGTTTGTTCCATCTGTTTTGAATTGCTGCTTTGAATCCAAAGGATGCACAAACCAAATTATCACAGAGAAGTTTCTGATCCTGGCAGGGTCTGAGTGCTGTTGGTTCCATTTGCTGCCAGGTCCTCAGGCCTGGCTCATTAATGGGCTGCCTAGGTGGCTTTGCACGGACAGCTAGGCAAGCCAATCTGTCATTAAGTAGCAGATGTGGCTTAAATGAAGTTTATTGCCCTCTCCAAGTAGCACTGAGTGACGCGATGCGTATTTTAACAGCATGTGACAGGATTGTTCACTTGTGCAACTCTTCCGTGTAAGTCAACGCTGTGGCTGCTGCTGTGTTAGACATGCTTCATCTAAACGTATTACCCTGCAGGGAGTTGATTTCCACTGAACACTTTTCAATTTGTCTGCTTCTCAGAAAAGTGCATGTCTCACTTACTCAAGGGAAAAATCCTTAGCAAAATTCTCAACCACCCCCCTTTTCTGTTTTTATATTTGCTCCAATATGAAGACCTGAGGACTCTATGGCATAAGTGAGAAGTCTTCGTGGGCAGTGGGATGATGCCTCTTGTGTCAGTAGCCTTTAGGCTCTGCCGAATGTGGGCTGTAAAAGGAGGCTTTGAGCAGAATCAGTCTTCTTGGAGAGATGATTTATGTACAAACTCATGTTTAGCAGATATCAATACCTTATAGCTGTATGCAACAGCTGGTTGGGGATAACGTGTTTTGTGGACAACATTCAAGAATCTTTGAAGTAACTTTAGAAATCAAAAATTATATTTGAGCTTCAGTAGCACAAGTATAGTTTTAGTTCTGTGTTTTCTGATAGCAGTATTTATTTTTAAAATAATAAAAATAGGAACCTGACAAATCTGCTGTTGCAAGAGGGCTGTTGAGAGGATAGCTGTCCAGTTGGTTTGTGAGGAATGACCTTTAGGTGGGATTTAAATCATGGAAAAGGCGGTAGCCTGTGGGTATTTAATTACCTGAATAGTTGCTTCATAGTTTAGGTTGTTTCCTCATTTTTTCAGGCTTTTTTTTTTGTGAAAAAGAAAGAAGACTGTAGTATTTAAACGAGATACTCACATCTGTACCTTTCTTGGCAAATATGCTGGTCGATAGGGCCGATGTAATGACCTTTCCATGTAGGATGGAGATTCTGATGTAGGCTCTTTGTTATAGCACATTCAATTCTTAAGTGCCATTTGTTTCCGTCGCCTGGACTGCACCAGTAGGCAAAAATAATGCTGTTGAGACAACTTGAAGCCTCCAAATGGGGCTGTAATCCCTTCAGCCATCTCAACAAAACCAATTAGATTAAATGCAGTTTGAATTTAAAACAAAAACAAACCAACAAACAAAAAACCCACAATTGAACAACATGTATTCTATAAATTATAGCGTAGAAGCCAAATTCTTCCAAAGGATGATAGGGAAGAGGACAAATACGTTCTGATATGGCAAATCAGGTAGCTCTTATTTTTTATTTAGTAGAGAAGAGCTACCTGATTTAAAGTCTAAGTATTTTTGTATTTCAGTACAGTTTGGAATCAAGTGTGTCTGATGGAATTAAAATCTGTAATCAAATATAGTTTGATTTTTGCAGCAAAAGATGTGCCATCAAAGATGCTTGAGCTATAGCAATGAGGACTGGCAGTGAGAAGTAAGCTTAGGTGCTAGTGTTAAATGTTATTCTTTGCCCTTCACATTAACTTGCACTTTTTCTGTATTTTGAGACTACTGTATTTCAATATTTGTAAATAAAACAACTGTACTAAACTGGAGTGCAACTCTCTATGTAAAAATGTTCATAACTTACCAGATATTGTAAAGATCTGAAATAATAGTATTTCCTCTTTGAATATAGAAGTTAGGTTTTTCCAACAGAAAGTTGAGGCAATTCTAGTGCTCATATTTTTAATATTCCTCTTATATCTGTTGAAAGTCTTGATGAATTACAAAACACTTTATATTCTTGTTTCTCATCATGCAGTGCATAAAATGAGTATCTGACCAGCCAGAACGAACAGTTCACTTCCAGGGTTTTTTAATTCAGGCTTTCTGCAAGTGGAATGGGATCTCAGTACATCAGATGCAGTAAATGCGTTCACACGGTCTTCAGGAGCAGTCTACCCCAGAGTGTCTTGTAGGCTGGGAAGCCAACGTGTCCCAACAGCGAAGCACGGCTGAGCTATGCCAGCACACTGGCCATTTGGCTAATACAGCTTTGTGGCAAATATTTGCCATTAATAGGTATTTGCTGTTGATAGATGTAGCTGTAAAGCTGTATCAGCAACCCACGTACAGATACAAGAAGCGTAAACCTCCCTGCATGCTGAATTGTTGGGTATATGAAGTTAACTCTTTCTGCCCTTTTGGTTCCAATTTACTCTCTCGTGATAAGCTGAATGCTATCTTAACTCTGGTAATTAATGGAGTACAACTCTGAAAAGTTCATATTGGCAACATGAGATTTAGTTGATAAATTTTGACCCGCACTGGCTTAAAGAATCTGTATGAATTTACTTCTTCTGTCGTTGTTTTGTAAAGCTTGTCATTATTGGATTCGAATATTTTGAATGGAGGAAGGTTCATTCCGACTTCACAAATCTGAGTTATTCTAAGTAAAGGAAATAAATGGCTTGCAATCTTCCACATTGGATGTACTTGGTTGGAAAAACATCCCTCATTTGATATAAATCTAAAATATACTTGAATTTAACACTTACTAGCTGATTTGAGTTATTAATGCTTTCCTTTGATAGAGCCATGCATGAGCAACAACATGCATTATAATTATAGTAAGGTGTAAAGCTTAATGCCTGATATGTGGAGTTGTCTGCCCAGTGTTTTCTTATCTTCGGTAAGGTTTAAAATGAAGTATATTGAACAAATCCTTACAAGAGAACCACAGTCTAAAAAGATACAGTGTTGAAATGTGAAAATAACATCTTAAACATTTTGTTCTTCTAAGTAAAAAGTAGATGGTTAAGTCTTCGGTTTCTGCATGATTCTTGCAGCCAAGGTAAATGGGATTTTATTTTTTGGATTGTTATGGCATGCATTGTTTTGAACTTTATTTTCTTTGCAATGTTAGGTCCGAGTGATGATGGATTTATGTAACAGCACAAAAGGGATGTGTTTAACAGGTAAGTTTTCTGCCTTAAGCATTACACTTATTTTTCATTCAGGAATACAAAAATACAATGTTTACGGAGAGCTTGAAATAGAGTTTAGAATGTCAAAGATATATGCTATTTACTCTATTGTGATTGGCTTATTTATTTTAAAAGGATAAACTCATTAAAAAAAGATAATAAGTTTACAACTTGCTTATATCTGTTTATTATAAACACAGAAATTTAAGGAATTCAGATTATGATGCTTGGATCTATTTCTTCCCATGTAGTTTTCATCAACAAAACTTGAATGTTTACAATACTAATTGACCATTATTCTGGGTATTTTTGCATGTGTCCCCAGAATTCAAAGCCTGACATGGGATGAATACATAAGTTATGGAAACTTACTTCCATTGTAGTAGTTGCTGTGGAGTGGTGGGACTTAGATAAGCAATGTTTTTACCTTCCGAGCCTTTGGAGTGTGGCAACAGGTTGTCTGGTTTCATGTGTCAGGGGGCAGTTGGAATAGGCTGATGGCTTCAGCAGCAGAAGATTTGAGAAGTTTCTGTGTGAAGTGGAAGAAAATACCAAGTAGTAGCCAACTTAAGAGCTTTGAAGATGCTAATGGACTGAGCTGTTTATTCTCTTTGAAAGTGAGAAGACTGGAAATCAGCCACTATTTATGAGTTTAGGAGAACTCTTCACTTGCTGTGTGGCTTATTTTTTCAATTGGGTGTAAGGGCTATTTGACTACTGCTTTGAACACAAATAACAATTACCTCAGCATAGAGAGATATTAAACACTGCTCCTGAAACTGCTCGCAAATTCTGCTTGCAGCAGAGGCTGAACGGCAGGCAGCAAAAATGTGTGTTTCTCTGGCCTCCAGAACTCTGAATTCATGTCTGCTTGAACTGAAGCAACTGCATTGCTGTCCAAAGCAGCTCCGTGGTGCCTCTGCACAGTTACGCTGTGTCTGCCTCCAGCTTTCTCTGCTGTAGCCCTCTATGACACTTACTACTTCTCAGGCACATTTCTTGTTTATCTTATGCTGATATGAGGATAATCAGGATCCTTAGAATTTGAGATGACAAAGTAATAGAAGGCAGTAGTGGATGTTGCATGCACAGCATGAAAAATAAGGTCATTTAGTGGAAAGATGTCAGTTACTAACTGATGTTACTGTCTGCACTGATTAAAAGTGATCATCTCTGTAATGGCATTATAAAGTGCTTTTCATTTTACTCACAAAGCTTTCTGGTCAAAGCTGTCATATTTAGAGGAAGTCTTGTAATTTCTATAATTGTCTGTTTTACATAGTTTTACTAGAAATGTGACAGTCCTTTGTCAGCTGGATAGAAATGTCTACAGACTTAGGTTGTTTTCTTAATTGCAGCAACACCTTTCTTTGAATCTTCCTAACTTTCCCCATCTTTCAACAAATGTATATTGGAGGTCTCATAACATAAATCTTGTTGCAGAAACATTTTGTGTTCCTTAGTCTTGCCTGCTAAGCTTCCTTCTTACTAAAGCCTTGTCAGAGAAAACAAGATGAATTTCTATATATTACATGTTGCTGAATAAGGCAAGTGGAGTTTCTAAAATACAGTACATTTCTGTGGACAGTCTGATCCAGTCTAAAGAACAATTAAATGTAAAAAGCTCAACAGTGATTTAAATGTAGCTTATAGGGATGGCATTTTTTCCCCTGTTTAAATAGACTGGATCCTGAAAAACTCAGGGAAGCATGTGTTTTTCATGTATATTTTCTACAGATTTTTTTAATCATGACTTTCAGAAGTACCTTAAAGCTATTATACTACCACAAAATGATTTTAGAGTCTCTTCTGTATTTGAAATAAAATGATGGCTGAGTGGTTTGGTTTGTGACATTGGAAAGGCACTTGAAATCCTAATAATGAGCTTATGCTTTAGCAGATGCTTGTTAAAACTTTTTCATCTGGCATTTGCGGAAGGTTTGCATATATAACTGCTTAGAAGGGTGATCTCTCAGTAAGTGTAGCTGAGTTTGTGCTAATGCCTCATTATTAATTTTCATACAAAACTGCAAAATACATATGCCTTTTAAAAAAACTTGGAAAGGCTTTTTCTTCCTTTCACTCTTCTACTGTAATGGTAATAAGTTCAGTTTGGGAATTGGTTTCTGTGTTCTTGCTGAGTTAATCTCACATTTTTTTCTTTCTTGTGTTTCTTTGCTTGTTCTTGATGGAGGTCCCCCTGGCCCCCCAGGTAAGATACTTTTGCAGTTACAGTAACATTTTTGGATAATTGAAACAGTTGTTGATATAAAATGCTGAAGTGTAGGAAAGTAACTCTTGCAGAATAACCTTCATTTGCTAATTAGAATGAGAAAGCCTTGAATGAGTGTTGTTTTAATTTCTCTACTTGAGTCAACTTGTGTCCCTTCGGAAGTGAGAGAGGCTTTAGGTATTGTAATTTCACTCCCTATGCTGGAAGGAGTGGAATAGCTTCATTTCCTAAAACATCTTTGATCAAAATCAGATGGAAAAGTTAGCTGAAGAGGTGAGTAAATAATAAATAAATAAAAAGAATAAACTGGCATTTTTATTAAATATTAAAAGCATTGCTTTAAAGTTTTGGTTATGTTTTTTTTCTATAAAACTTTACCTTTTCTTTTTCTTATTTAATTCTCTCTGTTCTCACTCATGGTTGCTAGGCATGTGAATGGCTACTTTCTTTCCCAGCTTTTTTGGCTGTGGACCTGCTTAAAATCATGTTCTTTATCAGAGAAGTGTCAGGTACTTTTTGTTTGTGAGATTCAGATAATGATATGAGAAGGAAAAATGGCTTCTCTGTTAAGCCAACCACATTTTGGCACTACAGGAATCTGGGCAAGTAGGTAAATGTTCATGTCACTTTAGTCTGGCAGGTGTCAGAAGCAATATTAAAAGTTATGTTGTTTAGGGAGGATGCTGTGGTTACTGTCAGAACCAAGGACAGGACAGGTTCCACTGGGTTTGTCTTTGAAGCAGAATCCAAGAGGTTGATGTGTTGTGCCCTTAATGCAGGATGTGTACAGCATTCAGTTTGGAAACAGTTTTCTTATGTAAAACAAAGGTTTTATAACTAGCTGTTTAAAAACAAAAGAAAAGAAGAATGATACTGATAGCCATAGTAAATGTAATGGATAAATGTCTAATAGTGTCTAATAAGTATTATTTTTAAGGATTAATTTCATTTAACAGTGAAAATTCAGCTATGCCCTTTGTTCTGTCCAGGGCCTCCTGGACTGGATGGAATGCCTGGTCACAATGGATCAGATGGAGTTCCGGGTATACCAGGACAAAAGGGTGAACCAGGATTAAATGGAAAAAGAGGAAAAACAGGTAATTTTGATTTTCTTTATTATAATTCCTTCTTTACTGTTCTGTTCAAATGCAGTTACCTTAAGACTCGATCTATTTCTAATGTGTGCCTGCAAGCACACTCACACTTCTAGTAGTACAAGTGTTGCATTTCTCTCTTCTGAAGTGTGAAAACGATGCTGTACAAATCCCAGCTGTTACCGATATGCATCTAAATATATCGCTTCATATTTTTCCTTAGTATTTCTACTTATCCAAGAACGGCCAAGTCTCTCTCTATCTCATATGGAAAACTTGGAGAAAAATGGGTAAAGAATGTAGTATTTGCACTTAATGAATTTTATGCTATTTCCGTATATGTTCAGTCCAAACCAAACAAATTACAAAGTTAAACTTAGCGAGGGGAAACATAGTAATGTTGAAAACCCTAATAAGAATACATTTTGTTTTTTCCTTTTTTTAAAAAAGGAACATATTGACTTTGGGAAACATGGTTTTAGGGGAAGAGTATCCTTTTCAGCACTGCAATGCTTCTTATTTCTAGGTGTCCCAGGACCAAAAGGTGATCAAGGAGCAAAAGGAGAACCAGGAGAAATGGGTTTACCTGGCAAAGATGGTATGCCAGGAGGAAAAGGTGCAAGAGGAGCAAAGGGTGATAAAGGGGATGCAAACAATGATGTGATATTAGAAGGTAAGAAGTAGTGCTCTTAGGAGCTCTCTTGGGTCACCATACAGGGAAAAAGAAAGATGTACTCTGCTTTTGCAACATGAATGTGATCTCCGAGAGTAGGACAGGCAAATATAACACACTGCATTATATACAGTGGAGCTTTTGGGTATAGCTACAGTTCAGATATTAGAATCCCTTAGTAATAGTCTGAAGAGTGTTTGTAGATCCAGGAAGTTAAGAGAACTGCCCAGGAGATCATGTTCTCTTAATAATGCAGTTACACAAAACCTTTTGTCTTCAGGCTTTGGATGGAGGTTGTGTGAATTCCATCCTTTCCAGCATGCTTTTAGATAGATTGTTTCTTCCTACTCTCTTCTTACAGTGCATTTTTTTTCATATTAGAACATAAGGGACAATTTTCTATTCAAGAATGCATGAGTGAAGCATCATGGCAGTTACAAATACAAACTGCCTAAACTTATAGTGCTGTAGATGCCAGTAATGCAGACAGCTGATCTGTCCTAGAACTTGTGAAATTCCACTGGTTCGCTGGCTGCCAGACAGCATCCAGTGAGTTTATTGAGCTATATTCCTGTACACAGCAACCTCTTAAGAAAAGTGAGGCTGTTTAGAGAGATCTCCAAATCTATCATATCAGTGGGCACGTAGAGTTCTCTGCTGGTTACTCGTTTGCCTACAAGGCCTGCAATATCCTGCTTTGTTTTGTGCCTAGGTGCAAAAGGTGAACCTGGACCACCAGGGCCTCCTGGACCACCTGGGCCCCCAGGACCCCCGGGAAAACGTAAGAGTAAAGCCCACCTTCAGGAGAACGTGTACAGCAGCAAATGCACAGGTTCATTCTTTGCTTTGTTCTCTCTAGCATTCTTGACAGGTTCAAGATTATATTAATTGGTCTGACTCTCACATATTTTAAAGATATTTTGATCTTGTTGGCATTAACAAAACTGCACAAATGTAAAGCTGAAAAAAAGAAGACTTTGAAGTATCCATTTCTAAAATGTTCTATATATCAGAAGAGGAAAATCTTTCTTCTGACAGTGAATTATCACCAGGAGATGAGGCAGAGCTGGTGATTTAGGAACATGGGTACCCAAACAGTGTGGTATTGTGGTGACTGGAAAAGTTTTGTTCAAGCCGTCACCTGATTATGGAAAGTAAAGAGAAGCTGTTGCAGAGCAGCACCATATTTGTAGCTCACTACAGTTTGAGTGGAAGCAAACTTTCGTTTTCTTGATAGACCTACTGGATCTGCCCTCTGCTGTCCTTGTCCTTAAACACTGGCTAGCAGTACTTTTGGTACCAAAGATGATTGCTGCTTGCAGTTACTCTGGCTGCTGCTGAACTTCTGGGACAAATTTTCCTCCTAGATGAGCAGTCTAGTTTTTGGTGAGGTCAGAGTGATCTGATAAAAGGAAGCAAAGAATGTCTTGTTTCCTGATCTTCCTCCTTTCTCGTTTCTAGAAGAGAAAGTAGTTATCTCTGAAAGTGTTCGGTAAAGTGGGTTTTCTGTTGTAATTGTGAATGTAGGTTCTTGAGAAGCACACCAAAGGTGAACAGCATGAAAACTTCATGCAGTTAAGCCTTATATACCCCGTCTGATCAGTGTGTCTCACTGTTAGTAGGGTGATGTGATTTTATGCTCCAGTGATGAAAATGTGGGGAGAGGGTAGAGTTCTCCACTATTAAGAAAAAAGCTTTTGGTGGTAGTGCATCTGAAATATTCTCCTATCTTCTTTCTTTCTTCTGCCAGGGTGACACCACTGGCGCTTTACCTTGTTTGCGAAGCACACAGTATTAAGGCTTTCTAGCACCTGAATTGTCTGCTGCAAGCAGATAACTGGTGATTTTGAGCAAAGATTAGTATGTGCATTAATATTTCCCCTCACCATCATTCTGAACAGTTTGCTAAAATGAATTTTTTTTTAATTATAGCTGCTATTAACCAGTTGCACTGAATATTTAATACTAAGTGGAATATATGGAACATATATCAATTATTTCCCTCTCTTGGTGTTTTTTTTCTTTTCTTTTTTTTCCTCTCTCCAGTGTAGCATGTAATTGTAGTAGCATGCAAGAACCTCACTTGGGAGCTGCTGGCTATTGAACTGTTAGAAAGGAGCCTAAGGAGGCTCCTTCTTACAATGAAGCAGAAATCTCATCCTAATCATGATACAGAAATGTGGGAACTGCTGTACAAGATAGAATAGGGCCATTTACGCAAGTAGCCTGTTTTAAAGTGTGGAACAGACTGAAGTGCTTTGGAGGTTAAGCTATTTGGTGGTTTTCTAAAGGATTTGAAACCCTGAGGTGCCAGTGGGAGTAATGATCAAATAATCTAGCAGAGAAGAGATTTTCCTCAACTAGTATCTACTTTTTATGAGCAATAGGCTGAGATCTCATTATCAAACTACAAACAATAAACCAGCTTTTGTAATCTGGAGATTAAATATTCTTATCTTTTTAACAAGGGAGAACACATACACTACTTTACAACTGTAATTGTTACATTGTTATATTTGTTCTTTTATATATATTATTTATAGCAATGTTTTCCTCAGATAAAATTTGGAAACAGTAAATCTTGATTTCATTATCAGAAGAGGGCAGTGAGTTGGAAGCTCAGAGGTGTTTTCTCTCGATGTTACTGTTAACTAATTCTGAAAGAAACAAAACATTTCTTTTCCTTTCTCTCTTGTTCTCTCCTTCCTTCTCTTCCTCTCTCCTTCCCTTCTTCTCTCCATTCCCCCAGATAGTCCAATTGGTAGTTTTATTGTCTTGTCAACTATTACCTTTTAGTCAGAACATTTTATGCTCAGAATCAGTAGGACATATATCTCTTTTTTTTTTTTGATGAAAAAAACAATGAAAATTGCATGTAGCAGTCTGATACAACCTTCAAAACTTACATCACCAAAAGTCATTGATAAATAGATGGAAGAAATACATTTTGTTCTTTCTCTGTTTTGAAATGGTTTCATCAGTAGGACATATATCTCTTTTTTTTGATAAAAAAAAAACAATGAAAATTGCATGTCGCAGTCTGATACAACCTTCAAAATTTACATCACCAAAAGTCATTGATAAATGGATGGAAGAAATACGTTTTGTTCTTTCTCTGTTTTGAAATGTTTTTTTTCTGCACAAATAAAGACAGAGTAAAACCTACAGGAGAAAGCAACAGTGCAATGTAACCAGTCCTTTCCTCCCTCTGGAAGTCACACTAGCCTTTCAGCATTACCTTACCGTTATATCATTTTTTTACTGCTACACTTCCCATTTAAACTTCTTCATAGTTGGGTTTAGCCCAGAGATCTGCTGAAAAGCGACAATGAGTTTGCAGCCTGCCCGTCAGGCAGTGAGAACTGGCTGAAGGGATCGGATGTACGAGTGGGGTCAGCAAACAAGGCTGCAGCGAAATGAAGCATCTTCAGCACAGAGCAGAGTTCATTCTTTGCTCCAAGCAAAGTAAAATGTCTTCTGTTGTTTTAAAGGCAAAAGAGCTTTCTCGGTTTATAGAAAAAGGTATCTTAAGTAATTTCATTTCACTGTTTTAACAGTCAACACTAAGGAAAAACCCATCAGCTCTCTTTTGAATAGTTGAGGGTTGGGGAAAAATATGTATACTATGTGTATAATTTGATTCAGTCTTTCACATCTCTTCTTTACTGCTATAAAGTAAAAATGGCATTAATGGCTTACCTGCGCTGTTAAGACTAGATTTGCAGGGTGTGTGTTGGTGCACTGCTGATGCTTTGGGCATTGATGGCTGCAGTGAAACTTTCGCAGTTGTCTGTGGAGCATGGAGCATGTCCCAGCTGCTGGTGGAGGTAGATCTGCACATGAAGCTTTGAGTTTAGCTCTCACTAATTCTCAAAGAAATAATTTTGGTATTATTGACAAATCAGCCAACTGTCTCAACTGTGTCAACTTTTTTTTAAGGAAAGATGCAAAACTGTCTTTCTACTCAGAAATTCACAGCTAAGAAATTAAATCTGTTAAACAAAATTATTTACTTAAAATCAATGGTCAGCTGGACAACTTTAGGAAACAAACTGGGCCAAACACTTAACTTCCTTCAGTGAAGGGAGACAAGGTCTATCCTTTTTTATTTTTTTATTTTTTTCCAGAAGAACCTAGGTTTTCCCAGTTATAAACAGCATCTATTTCGGAGGAATGAATACTTTGCAGTTCCTGGCACAGAACCATATCCTTGTCTGCAGACTGAAATTACTTTTGTTTCTGGTGTTATATGTTAGGAAAGTGGAGACTTGGGAGAGAACCAATTGACTTGATCTTGGCAATTCTATAAACCAGGGATAAGACATAGTTAGAACTTGTGAACTTTTGACTTCACTTTTAAGCTCAGCCCATTAGATAATACAGGTTAGTGTAAACATGACATAAGTGCCATGCTTGCCTAGATAAGAGAATTCTAGAGGAAAAATACTGTGGTGATAGCTGTGCTGCCAAAAATAGAGTGGGTACCAAAAATTAGAGAGTAGGTGACAGCAAGTGAAACTTAAAACAGAATTGCTTTTCATATGTTTGCCCTGAATCTTGTTGTAAAAATTTACTTCAAAAAAAATTTTAAAAAAAAAAAAAAAAAAAAAAAAGGCAAGGTTTTAGATTTATATAAGGGAATATCCATATCCAGTAGAATTGGTTAAAGATGATAAATTGAATGATTATGTTAATAAGCCATTCAAAAATACACTTTGAAAAATAAGAAATTTAGTAGGCTAAATGCCAAATATAGGAAGATACTATTTATTTATTTATTTATTTATTTATTTTTACCCCTTCTCTCAATTCTAGGTGAGACACGTGCTGTTCCAAATGATGACACTTTGGCTGGAAAAGCTGAAGAGAGAACCAGTGATCATTCAAAAATACCTGGTAATGTGCTAGAGAAAGCAAGACTAACTGCTGCTTACTGCTTTAAAGCAGAGATAATGAACCCAGGCTTTTTCTCTACCAGAATGTGTTGTAACATCTGTGGGAAGTCCTGTTCACCTGGTCACTGTGCAACAAACATTTGGAACTTGGATGCGGGAACCTGCTAATATAAGTGATGAAAGGATTTGGCTTACCATGCATTTTTCAGGTATACTAGAAATTGTTCCTGAGTAAAAGCCTCCTAGTATATTAATATTGCTTTCTTAATTCTCAGAGTCACAGAACACTTGGAAGTTGGAAGGGGCCTCTGGAGATGATCTGGTCCGAACACCCTGCTCGAGTAGGGTCTGCTAGAGCAGGTTTCCCAGGACTGTGTCCACCTGGGCTTTGAATGTCTCCAAGGATGGAGACTCCACAACCTCCCTGGGCAATCTATTCTAGTGTCAAAACATAAAAAATGCTTTCTTAAGAAATTCTTTCAATCTAAAATAATATTTCTAGTTCAGTCTGATTTATTTTACCCACATCTATCTACATAAAATTTTCTGTATTACCTGTGTGGTACGTGGTTATATATGTGATTACAGATTTTTCTCTTAGGATTTTCTTATATTTGTAGCATTTTCAGACATTTTTTTTGGAATCCAAAACATAGTTTTAGGATTTTTTTTAACCAATCCCTGTTTAAATACAGATTGTTGGTGCCTTTGTATTATTTTCTTTTAGCAGTTTCCTGTGGTTTTACTTCCCTAATTGCATGTAACCATTGCAGCTTGGAAAGGCATGAAAATGAATTGGTTCTGTGTGAGGTATACTTAGTGCAGAACAAATTTCAAGATCGAAGTGGAAAAAATGAAATACTATGTGTGTATATTTGCCAACTGTTTGTAGAATTTGAGCCCATCAGGTTAGTGGGGTGCAGGCACTTGAACAGCTTTATAGATTTGTGGTGTTTGATTATTTTACTCTGTTCCAGTGTTCTTGAATCAGTACTGAAAACACAAATATGCTTGTCTGCAACTTGGTTCTTGTTGAATTTTAGTAGAGAATGAAATTTAAGATAGAAATTTCAGAAATCAGATAGACCAAATGACAGTATTCTCATATTGTTCCCTCTATTTAGGAAACTCTATAAAAGAATATGAGAATTCCAATGCCTTGCTGAATGACAGCTACAGGATCATTAACATCACAGGGTTCTTTTATGGCTGTGGTCATGCAGTCCAAAACAATCACCTGTACTATCAAAAGGGAGGAACCAATGTCATTCTGAAGTAAGTGAAACAGTTGTCTTAAAGCACATGATGTTTTGGAAGGAGGAGCAGTTGCCAAGAGTTGTGGAGAGGAACTTGAGTTGGAAATGCAGACAACTCTTCTGTACCTCTTTGTTTCTTTGGGAACCTGTCTAGAATAGGAAGAACGGAGGGAGTGATCGCTAAGTTAATGCCTAATTCTTTCCCATCTGTAACTGGAATGTGGGCTACGAACCTTCCGTACAGTCTGGGTGTTCAGGTGCTGAGGGAGGGAGGGAAACTGGGAGGGGGGTCCGGGTCCGTTTCTCTGCTCTGCCAGTTCTTCAGATGTTGTTAGGACTGTTTCCAAGCTGTTAACTTTTGCCATTGCTACATGATACATGTGGGGCAACTGGACCTCAGGAATAAGATAATCTGCAGAGATTACAACTCTTTTTTTTCTTTGGCCTATCCTGGGGTCTATTAGACTTGCATTATATATTATATTGCTCTGAATGTCCTTGCACTTCTTGACAGTGTCTATAACTGCTGAAAGAAATGGGAACTAAGGAAATGGGGGCTCAGGAAAAAATAATTTTATTAAAGGAAGTAAGTGGCTGCTTGCAGGTGCTCAGGGTGGGAATTGGTTCGGTCCCAGTTTAGGGGAGAACGCGGGGGTTTGGCAGGAACGCGCTTGTGGAGCATCCTGGCTTTGCGAGCTGTCTGCGGGGTGGCAGAACTACCCTGTGCTCAGAGAGCTCCACGCTTGGCCAGCAGGAGTTGAGTTGTTGGCTCATGGTGCTAGTGTGGGGAATGTGCGAGGGCACCTGCTGAGGACGTGGCGACCCAGCAAACTGCACGCTTGGTTGCTATGGACTGGCTCCACTGCTTGATTTCTCCTAATCAGAAATTCCTACAGTTGTCCCAAAATGTCTCTCTGAATTTGAACTGGGAATTGCATCTATATTTCTTCACTTTCTATTGAGGACAGAGACAGATAGTACAAACCAAAAACAAAATGCAATCTTGTGGGAAGAGCCAAATACAGACAGACCAAGGGCAAGTAAAAGATTGCATCTGCTTTCAAGTTCCCTCACATGACTGATGTTTGAGCCAAGAACATTACTATACTTTGATGTCTCTTCCTAGGCAGGTGTGAGCATCTTCCTATTATCATTTGTAGGCCAAGGAATGTGAGAAAGCTGCTGGGATTGTACAATATCTATTCGGACAGAGACATGCCCACCTTTTGGCAATCTCCTTTACATCCCTGCCAGGGATTTTTGTTTTTTAAATGGCCAGCTCCAAGCAATAGAGTGATAGGACACAGGTTCATAACCCTTTCTTGGGTACTAGTAATTGGGAACTGCCTTCACATACTGGCCAACACAGGTTATCTGTAGAAGTCTGAAAACCTCCCTGAGAAGTTGTTGAGAGAAGTTTTTTCTGTTCAGTTATCATATCCAGGATTGTCTACCTCCAGCACAGAGAGGAGTAAGCACTACCCACTCTGGGATAGTGAAGTAATCTTTCCTTCTATTGCAAGTTCTGGGATCTGAGATGTCCCTGTCATGGACCCTGGCTTTTCACAGCTTTTAGAACTGTAGCTTATTCCTGAGTAATATTATTTTTTTCAGTATTTCAGGAACTGAGCTATACAGTCGAAGGCAGAGTATTAGATGTGCTTCATTACAGAATGCATTTCTTAAAAGGATAAAGTATACTCTACTTAATTGCTATGTTATTCAGTAAATAAATGCTAACTGCATATATGTGGCTTGATAGTAGCTGATTACCCTCCCGAACTAGTAGAGAGACTCAATTTCTAAGGGCCGCTGTTTTTAAAATTCCCATCCTGTTAAGGAATTTCAAGAAATATAAACAGTTTTGATAGGTTAGAGGTAAGACATTCAGTCCCTCCTGACGGATGCCAGCGGGAGGTCAGAATGTTGGCTCTGCAGAAGTAGAACTTTTATTGCTTTGATGTTTATTAGAGCAAATCACTGTATTATCTGGACTGTTTTTAAAAGAGGAGCTCTAAGACTAGGTGAACTTGCCCAGAATTCATGCTGCTTTATCCACCACATTTTTTTTCCCCCTTTAGTTCAACTTCATAAAAAGCATGTTTTTGTACACTCTTCCTTTAGCAAGTGTACTTGTTATCGAATTCATTTTCTCACCCATTTCTTTTACTTAGCTTCTTTCATCTTGATGATAACAAAAATCTTCATAGACTAAATAAAGTGAAGCCTCCCAAAGTGAGATCAAGCACCTGTTAGATTAGCTATTACTTTGGAATCCCTGCATGTTTTTTTTCTTCCCTAGTGCTTTGGAAGGTGTTTTGTGAGGTACTTCATCTTAAAAGAGAGCAGAATGGTCCTTGAGCTCACATATTATCAACAGTCATGTAGTCGTCAACTCACCCCCAAAGTGTGTATAAAAACATGTTTTAACAGAATATATTGAATACTTATTTTATTTCATTCCAGACTCGGACTTGATAAAACATCAGCGGGCACACTGGTAATTGAAAATGCCTTATATCATGGTCGTAACTATCTCTTTGCTAACTCGAAGACATATTTCAATGTAGCAGTGGATGAAAAGGGTCTTTGGATTATATATGCCTCAAGTACTGATGAAAATATAATAGTAGCACATGTTGATGAAGAAACGTTTTCAGTCATGCGGCATATCAACACTACATATCCCAAGTCCAAGGCTGGTAATGCATTCATAGCATGTGGAGTTTTGTATGTGACTGATACTAAGGATATGACAGTAACTTTTGCTTTTGATTTATTGAAAGAGAAGCAAATTGATGCAAGCTTTGAGTTACGCTCTTCACAGGCTGTTCTTGCTATGCTTTCATACAGTTTAAGAGATAAGAACTTGTATACATGGGAGAATGGGAGTTTAATGATATACCCCGTGCGTTTTGGCAGATGAATGTACTATGAGGCGGTGCGTCGTGGGAGCAATGTTTGGCTAAATAGATTATTTAAAGCTGTACCGTAGAATGTGGGTGGGTCTCTTCACTCCTCAGTATTCATCTCTCGGCTGAGGTGTTTTTTATGCACGTGTAACAGGGAGATCGCACCCTTTTGTATACGTACGCTTGAAATTGTACAGGCCATTCCTGCCTTTTTGGGAGAAGAGCTGTCCAACATTGCAGCTGGCACCCAGCACAGACTTGCTTTTGTTTTTCCTCTGTTATTCAGCCTATAATTACATTTAATGTACACTGATTATTCTCCAGTCATGTGTTCAGCAGTGACTATTTTTAACTCGCAGTTGCAATTACCTTATGTGCAATCATTTTCTAGTCAATGATTATGGTTTAGTATAAATGTCTAAATAATGAACTCTTGTGTACAAATACATTTATCCGTCATTTTCACTTAATACTTCCCACTGCCTCTGAATATTTTTTTGACAATGACATACAGCTGTTAAAAAGAATGGGGATGGAAGCAGTTGTTTAAATAGGGAAAAAAAGCAGAAACTTAAAACTGGTAAGTCTGGCCAACCATTACATAATCAAAAGCAAAATCCAGCCCAGGTATACGGCAAATGGGAATGTCGGCACTATTAAGTGTTGTGTTCAGTGAATGTGGAAGGAAAGTAATCGGGTGAATTTACTAATGAAAGATGTAAGAAAAAAAAAAGATTAAAACTCCATTTGTAACAGTGCTTGAGTTGCCTGTGTTGCTGCAGACTCCTCCTTCCTCCTCAAGGGTATGTAAACTATAGCATTTCATGGAGGTATAACTAACTTAATTGTGCAGTTATTTTTCTAATAAATATTCCTCACATTCATCAACTAGGTGGGAACTATAGGTAGAAAATATTAGGAACTCTTTCAAATTTTGTTTCAATATTTTCCATATTTCAAATACCTGAATTTCTAAGCTTCCTCAGCTATTGATAGCCCATTGAGTTCATCCAAATATTGTTAGGCAAAAGGTACCACCTCCGCCTTGCACGGTGCTGTTTAATATCCGTTGGCCGGCTCTACACCTGAATGGGATTAGGGAACCCGGGAAGGTCTGTGCCTGCAGCCCATCCCTAGGTCCCTCTCGTGCTCCGCGCGGCAGTGCCCGGCGGGCCAGGCTTTGTGCTCCCTCCTCGCACGCTTGCTGCCCTTACGAGGGCCGTGATCCGGGCCCCGCGAGCTAAGGAAATACTTGCAGAGATACAAAAAGGCTAATTAATACTTCGAACTGATATATATGTCAAAAATTCTAACCCAGGAATTCTAAATATCTATATTTATAAGCAAGAGTGCAAGGCTTCAAAGTCCAGAGCTGAAAGTGTACGTTACTTTTCCAGGTGTGTTGCACTACTGATAGAGTGGACTTTTGCACAAGAATTGGGCACGTACAGTTCAAGTAAGATGTGACATCTTCCGTTTAATGTGTGAATAACAAAGCCAAATCCCTGTTAAACTTGTGCATAGTCCAGCAAGACCAACTCAGCCTGAGACTCTTCTATCAGCAACAAAAGCGTGGGGACAGGTTTATGTGCTAGACAAGTGTTTTTTTGCAGCCGCCAGGGTTGCAGACGAAGTTCTTTTCGTTAACCTTACACTGTTCCAGGACAGCTGAAAGTAAAAAGCAAAAAGCTAATCCTTTTATTAAGAGTACAGTGTGAATTCAGGTGAAAGCTAGATCAGGGAGTATCCAGTCAATGTACTTGAGCTTCAATTAATATATTTAAATGCAAGAGAAACAGTTCTGGAATGGACTGGTCCATGAAAGAAAAGTAATTTATTTAACTTACAAAGGTATAATTAACCAATGACATTTGCTTTTTCTTTCTTTTTGTACTTCATAGCCTGCAGTTAAAGTTGCCTTTGGAGAAAAGGTGCTTTTTTAATCCTATTATATTTTACAATACAGCACAGACATCAAAATTTTCAATGAAGAATTAAGATGATTTGTTAACATTTAAATATGTAGACATCTGTTCTGATGCTTTAAGAACATGTTCTTTGTTTACAACAGAGAAAAATACATCTGACAACAGTAGCTGGTATATTACAAGCAAACAATATTGAGCTCTGCATAGTTTATACAATATGCTGTGGTAATAATTTAGGTTACCAGTTTTATCAACTATTTACTAGCTGGCCACATGAAGCCTGACATTCATCTGAAATGTGGCATTGTACGGTCTATTGGTATTCTCTTAATAGCTTCATTTAATGAAGTAATTTGGACAAATGAATTTCAAAACTAAAAGCTGATTTAGAAATATGGAAATTTTCACTACAAACATTTAATGCTCACAGTACATTCCTAAAGTAAAGGCAGGTCTCCAATATAAAACATAGCTCTCAGAAAGAAAGGAAAACACTGTGCAAATTAAAAACATCGCATTTAAAATGTGTTCATGTGCAAGTTACAGTATCAACTGTATATTAACACTAATTGGGGAAAAAAGTCTCAGCATAAAGTGATACACATCTCACAGTACGTTCTTGATTGCACATTGTTCCACGGCATTTGCATCCATTACACTTTCTTGCAAAAGATCATATACACCGAGTACCCTTAATTAAAGTTAAACTATTTTACAATGTGAAGTTGTAGACATGCTTCAATTTGTGGGAAAAAATGGAAGAAAAATCTTAATTGCAGCAGAAATGCTTACATCTTTATAAAGCTTCAGTGCCTGTTAACCACTGAGTGTGGTCAGAACCTGCAATGTGAGGCTTGCGGGTTACTGAGCCGCAACCCACTCTGGCTCACTGCACTGCACTGCTCTCTTGTAGCACCTGCATTGCAACCTCACAGATTCATACAGTTGTACTCAAAATGACCTGTCATAAGTCTATTTTTTTTTCCTTTCTTTCCCATAATACTTGATGCTGATGTAGTTGCTTTGAAAGCAAACAGAATAGGTCCTTTCCACAGTGTGTATCACTGCATTTTTAGCTACCTAAATAGACATTATATAAAAACAAGATTAACTCACACCAATCTTACAGAATGTCAAAAATGCCTGAAGGGATGTTGAAAGCATTGGGAAGAACTCGCATTTTCAGCGTGCCGTCTGCTCCACAGGAGAAGATACGATTGCCTTGCACAGTTTCAATCTGGGTGACACCAGCACCAATATTTCTGAATATGGACTGCTTAGCATGTTCATTTTTGAACGAATGAATTAAACCGTGGCCTGTCAGTCTCCACACCTGGATCAAAAGAAGACAAAATTAGGCAAGAAGATTAAAATTAGGATTTGTGTTTTTAACCTAATGCTTCATCTCCTTCCTGCTCTAAGCTTCCTGCTCCATTCAGCAAACATAAAGGATCTCTTTTGTTGTCAGCACTAATTGCAAGTTCAAGAGTATTGGGAGGCTCTCAGTGAAGCATAGGGAAGGACATGGTAGGGCTATTTAATGGAGGAGAGCTGGTTGCCAAGTAGGGCGAAGCTGCCCCCTCTTCTCCTGTCAGCAGTGCCCTCAACCACCGTGTGGGAATGGAGGGGAGTGTTTTAGCTGAGGGGGCAGCGTCAGCTTCGTAGCAGATGGGACTGTTGTTCTGTGGAGGAGCGCTGCAGACTGCGCTCTATAAACATGGAGCAGGCAGAGCTGGCAGCACCCCTGTCCCAGTTGGCTGCTACGTCCCAACTTCAGAAGCCCCATCGAGCGCAGACCATGCAGAGAGGCACAGAAAGCACCTGGCAGTGCTGCACACTCCTCCTAAGAACAGGGAAACCAGGTTCTCTACCTCTCCTTGCTCTGCCCTCATTTCCTTCTGTTACTATTCTAGATACAGTCCCTTTAGGACAGGGACTGTGTTTAGGTTATTTCTATTTTATTTTTTTAGTGCCCTACTATTACAACATCTCACTACTTGTTTGGGGCTACAACAGCACCAAGAAAAAACAGTTTGCTGTTAACACAAACTTACCACAATGTTAATGTTACTGAGCGCCCCCTCTATTACAGAGGGAAACATCCAAAGGCAAATACAGATGAACTGCTTTATCCATTTAAAATTCAGTCACACACTGAAGAGTTCAAAGAATTTTTAATTTCCTTTAACTAAGAACAAAACCTACTTGTCTTTCTATATTTAAGTTTTACATCATAAACTTATTTATGGCAAGCATCCCAAATATTAAGGTATCTGTTTTGTGACTGCATTCATCTAGCTATTCCCAGCAAGCTGCCAAAACATCACTGCTTCAGCTCCATACTGTCCTATTACAACCGAGCTACCCTGATCCCTTACCTTCATGTTACCTTCTGCTGAGCCCGTAACAAAATAATCCTCAGAGGTGTCCAGTGCAAGGGCCTTAACGGCCGATTCGTGCGCTTGGAAGGTGTGAAGGGTCTGTCTCTGCCTGATGTCGAAGACGCAGACGTAGCCCTTCCTACCGCCCGAAATCAGCAGCTGATGTTTCGGGGCGTACTGAAGCACTGTGGCACCGTGGTCATGACACGTGAAGGCTGAAGGAGAAGCCGCATGTCAGATTATATCCAATTTGGAATCGGTAAGCAGCTTTCAATCTTTAGTATTATGCAAAAATGCATTTCAGTTAAAAGCTGTTATCTGAATGTTTCCTGACTTGACAGATATTCCCTGTGCATGTGGGTACTGCCATAGCAGCTGACAGTTGAATCTAGTAAGTACACGAAAGCATTATACTAACTCATTTTAACTGAACTAATTTAATTGTAATTGAAATTATGAATTAATTTTTAAAACTGAGGAAAATATAAAATTTACTGTGTATATTAAGTTATATTAAACTGGTTAGTTCAAAATATACTATAGCTGACGCCAAACACATTAAGGTAAATATTAATTACCTTATGCATGTGTATTACTAGACTTTAATTTCCTCACCTTTTTCTCTAGGAGTCCTGATTCAGTTTCTTTGCTGTGAGGCAGTACTTTGCACAGGCTGGGAGCCAGTTTCAAAATGTGACCCCAGGAATGCACCTACTCCTTGCACAGGTAATTGCTAAATTTATTCAAGTGTCACAATTGTTTGCAGCTGTTGCGATGGGTGAACTTGTCTTTTGAAAAAGCTAGGATAGTATTTTTTTAATTTTTACTATATTTTTCACAAAATAAGACAATAAAAATTTGCTTTAGTTTTATATATAAAGATGAAATTATTGAACCTGGTCAATTAGATAATTTGGGGGGGCGGATCTAGATGTGCTGAAAGACAAGGACAGTATTTTTTTTTAAATTGCTTCTGCTGCTACCCACTGTTGTCCTTTCCATTCTTCTTCAAGTATTGGATGTATTAATTGCTAGCTTAAATGAAAAAACACATATAGACTTTAATAACACAGTCTAATTAAGGTCTTTTTGAACACACTCTTTGGGGGGAAAAGAAGACTATCAAAAGTGTCACAAAAACAACTTTGTTTATGCCCTCCTTTCATTATTCTTCTTTATACTGAGCAGGTTTATGATTATGCTGGAGATGGTAGCAGCCCTGGTGCACGTACTGGTTTGCAACAGGAATGTTTAGTCTAACTCCCCAACACAAACCTCTCCCCTTGTCCAAACACGTACCTAGCTTACGTTTCTTTAGTTAACAAGTACAGGTTTTATTTTCACTGCAGGACTTACCGTGTATAAGACTGTTGCCAGATGAAACCAAAGTGTCCCAGAGGCACACATTTCTGAGGGAAAAAACAAAGGCTGTCACTGCGGCCTGTTGCTAAGTGATTCAGGGTGAGGGTGACATGACTCAGAAGCTCCTTAAGTCTTATGGCAAAACCTAGAAGGTAGAACTGAACAAGAAGCCCTTGACTCTACAGTTAGTGGGGAGGAAATACAAGGAATGAGGAAGTTAACTCTTCCTAAGCTCTCTTGTGCTTTCCAGGGGAGGCAATACTCTTCTGCCTTTAAGATGCATACTAGTCCTAGGGCATACCACAAAAGACGATTAAATGCACAAGTTGATCTTCTCAGAGAACCAGAACTATCTTGTCTTTGCTGAACATGTTTCTCCCCAAAGCAACACCAGCACATCAGAATTTGGTAGCATTTTGCATGCCTCCTAAAAATAGTGGTCAACTGCTGGCTACTCCTCACAAAAGATAAGAGTTGGGAAGGAAGTGAATGAAGGAATGATGTTCAAAGAACTGATCTGTCAAGTCCAAGCTGTAACAACACATTACAGCTTTAAAATGTTAGCTATACTCTCATGCATGAGGTGGAGCAGTTTACCAGAATGAACAGGTAGTTTTGGGGAAATGCCTCATAGTTGTTTTTAAACACACCTGTTATCATTGGACTGTCCTGATGTAGCAACTAGACTTGAAGAGGTTATAAATGCGAAGTCACTTGTGGTTTTACTGTGGCACTGCCAACTCTATTAAAAACAAAACAAAAACAGATGTAATCTTATCAGTTGTACTCTGCCATCAAAAGTTACCAGCAAGCTGCTGTCATTAAGAGTATACTTCAAGTCTTTGAAGCAAAGTTGTTAATAAGAAATGACATGCAATGCAATTTGAAAGCTCAAGGAATAAAAAAACTCATACGACCTTCATGAAAAAGCAGTATAAAAAGAAAAGTTATTAAAAAATGGAACTAGACAAATCCACACTATAGTAAGTCACATCAGCCCAAGTTTCAAATTAAGCATGGTCTTTGTACTGTTAATTAGTAGTGAAAAGAACTGAAGAGTGTATTTTTTACTGAATATTAGGGTTATAAATTCTTTTAGTCAAGGGCAAAGTTGTTTTTGTAATTACATTGCAGCTTATGGTTCCTCTCCAACTAGTTCTCTAAAGTTGTATCCTTGAAACTCTACCTGTGTTATAATAAAGCATGCCAATTCAGCAAAATCAAAAACTCCGTGGTGGAACTCTTAAATACTTGGTCTGTCCGAAATGTTGAAAATTTAGGTTTCCTTTTTATATAGGAAAAAAAAGAAAATCTGTTTACTTACCAGATAGGGCTTAGGATTTGAGGTGGTTTGATTTACTTGCCAAATACTTAGAAATCCTTCACCATCAGCAACACCACACTGCAAGGAATGAACTACATTAATGCGACATACTGGTTCCTGGGTACTTGCTTGGTGATACTGAACATCTGAATCCAGACAAAAAAGCTTTGACAGCACAGTACACATCAACAGCAGTTTTCCAACATAACAATTTAGGAGACAAAGTGATTTCAGTGCTGATTATTTAATGACTATTTGAAGGCTGATGCTCTTCTACATGCCCAATTCTTTTCTGAAAGTGGAGGCTTTAAAATTATGCAAGTAGGGAAGCTCATCTTTCAAATCCCATTTTAAATGCTAAAGCTTACAGAGGAGTAGTACTACATAGCCATAGTTGAAAATAATTAGTAAAATAAGACAAATGAATGCCAGCACGCCATAAAAGCATGACACGAAAAACTACATTGTATCATTACAAAAAAGGAGTAATATCAGTTAAATTTAATGACAATAATATTATATATCCTATACTGACAAAATACTTAGAAATGTTCCAGAAATGTTTTTCAAAATATTTATAATTTTATGACTCCTGTTTGTGTGACCTTCTATGCAAAGTAGGTGGGAAAATTAGTACCTCTTTGTTCCTTACTTAAAATATATTTCCATCTGATGCAAGATTGTCATATTTCAAAGCATAATCAAAACACTGATTTCAGAGAAGGTCAAAAGAAAAATCCTGAAATGAGGTATGCTGGAACATATTCTATATTTGCAGCTATTTATAAATGTTCAGCTTTTGCTGTTTTATAGCTATCATAGAATCATGCCAAAATTCTTGGAATTCACTTACTAATTCGATTACAATTCAGGGCATAATTAATTTGTCACTAAAATGAAAGGACAAGACCTGTTGAAATCAGAATGTGTAACATGGAGAATGGTGGGGGTGGATGGTCCTCTCGATTTCCTTCTCTGTCTGCTCATCTACCTTCTCATCTAATTCCTGGCCAAACTGCATGGCTCTTTTGTACT